AATTTTTTAAAAGTTGATATGCAATTAAAACATGAGAAGAAGTGGGTTAACATTTTTGCCACCTACTGGACTGGAGTGTCAAGAAAGTCATACATGAGGGTGAGTAAATGATAAAACCATTTTCATTTTTGGGAGAACTATTCCTTTAAGGTATTTACATGACTTTATACATTGTCAGGTTATTAAGTGTATGATGTGCATGTAAAGTAATCACAGCATTTGTTTGTTGTTTATGTCTCTAGGTGTCTAGCCTGTACTTGTACGACAGTGTGCTGATGTTGGCCAATGCCTTCTACCGGAAATTAGAGGACAGGAAGTGGCACAGCATGGCCAGTCTGAACTGCATGAGGAAGTCAACTAAACCCTGGAATGGAGGCTGGTCCATGCTAGACACAATCCAAAAGGTCTAAAGTCACTTTACAATTCATCTCACTTATGCTTAATTCGGTCTGGTTCAATTTTCTTCAATTCAGCCTGCTGAAGTTCAGTAGCGTTCAATAAAATTGGTCTGGTTTAAATGATGTATCTCTTTCTGTAAAGAAGTTGTATTTGTCATTCTTTTCAGGGGCGGATTTCTGGGCTCACTGGTTTAATGGACTTCCGAAGCAATGGAGCGAACTCTCATATCCAGTTTGAGATCCTAGGGACCAGTTACAGTGAGACATTTGGAAAAGATGTAAAGCGGGTGAGTGGAAATGTTGTGGAAGAATGAAGTTACTTCATCAATAACTAACAAATTACATAAGTTCAGATTATTTAAACAGCTTGATGTGCCATGTTATGTCAGGAAACCCAGACCATATTGCAATGATTTTCCCGATCTTTCTCAACTTGGTTGCTGTCTTGTTCAAAAATGGTATGCATATGTGTTTTATACTAATGCAAGGGACATTTGAGGCATAAAATAAGTGCTGTTATAATAACATAGAACCACCACTGGTGAGGTAATTTGCACTATTTGGTATGTCAAATACTGTTATTTTTTAAACCAGTTATTTGGCCCCAATCCCATTTCTACCCCTTAGCCCGTCCCCTTTCCCATACCCCTTCCGTTTTGCGCGTTCACGTGAAGGGGTAGGGGTGTCTCGATTCTCTTTTTGTTGGAGGGGTATGGGGAAGGGCCAGATAGCCCTTCAAACAAAGATTTTTCGGGACCACACTTCAAACGAAGGGGTATGAATTATCTTAGCATAAACCGGCTACAGCAGCAACATGGCTGCCCGAGCGAACAAAACGACACATAAATGTAAGCATTATTGGCATTAATAAGGATTTTAATGAAAAGTAATCATTTGTTTTATGTTACATTCAATCGTGAGTTCATATTTACAGTCATGTTATTTAAAGAAATGTTTGCAAAAAATCGCTAAAGTTTGCTAAACGTCATATCATTACTGACTGCACGATAGT